AAAGCCCAAGCATCTCTTGATGCAGGGTTCTTTCTGAGTCAAATCCGGCCAGATGCATGGCTACATAGAAACGACTTGGACCAGGAGTTTAACCGACGATTGCTGCGTGAGTGGCACATGTGCCTAAGAGACTCGGCAATGCAAGTCGCCTATATCGACGACCGCCAGCATCTCATTTACATTGAGCCCAGCTGTTCCTTGGCGGCGGCACCTCAGGGCCAGGATCCCTTTCCGGTGAGTGTGGACAGTGAAGAGTACTGTTGTTCCATTGAGCCCTTCGACTCGGAGTGCTTGTGGTGGGACTGCCTTCAAGCAGAGCTTTTTGACTGGCCACGAGTAGAAGATTCGGAAGAACAACTCGACGCTCAGCCTGCGACTCTGGCAGGCTACCCGGCAGCCAAAGAAGTAGAGTTGCCCTTCGAACTAGAGGCAGTGCCCGGGTTTCATGGAAGTCTTGCGGCACCGAATCTATCGGATGATGTCTTGGTCATCCTGGCCCTGAATGCAGCTTGGTTCTCTTACAGTTTCTGGACGCGGCAGCTCCAAGGCATTTTTCTTCTAAGGGATGGCCGCTTTTTACTGGTCGGAAGTTGTGAGCTGCAAGGCACGGCTGATTCTGAGGCTCAGGCCAGGGTGTATCGTGGCTTTGTGGCCAACTCACTGCTATCTCTGGTGACCTTTGCCCAAGATCCACGGAGCCGGCAGATCTTATGCACCCGCTTGCCTTTGGGACAAGAGGACATTGGAAAAGGTGTGACGCCAACAGAGCTCATGGTCAGCATCCCCCGCGTCCAACACAACAATGCCGACTTTGCAGAACGCTTCGGCCCTTTCTTGCGTGCATCCAAGTCATGTGACAAGGTCTTGTTTAGCACCTTGGAAGTGGACCAGGAAGAGGGGCGCAAACACCTCAAAGCCGGGGACAGAGTTCGAGTTCTGCGCAGTCGCGGGGATGTGTTCAAATGGAGTTCCTGTGACTGCGAGAACTGGGCCGTAAGTCGGGGAGCTGTTTCACCTCAGCTTGATGCGCAGTACCTGGAACGAGCTTCCCAAGAGGATCTGCGCTTCTTCAGCTACTCTGGTGGTTGCCATTTGGGATTGCGGAGGGATCGATGGTATGATGCTGAAGTGGTCCATGTGAATGCTGACAACACTCTGGATTTGAAGTACACGAATCCGAGAGAATGGGCAAATGGAGCATCTGGCTATACTGATGGCCAGGGAAATGACAGGAACGAAGCACCCATTGAAGCGGACGTTGCCATTGAGAGAGCAAAAGTGCTACCGCAGAGTAGATGGTACTCGGCTTTCCAAGATGCCTGGGAAGGATGTGGTAGCTTCTCTACTATCAGCCTGAGCTTCGGAGATGGAGGTGGTGAGTCCGTCCGGGGCTTTGCACACAATATGAGCCAGCAGGATGAGAATACAGAGGGAGATTCCAAAGCTGAGCCTCGCTTCCTGAAGCTGGCAGATGTGTTCGCGGACACTGCCGAGGCGCATCGTTTCAGATCCATGCGGCTCTTTGAAGAGAAAGATCTGTTTGTAGGCCAGGACCGGCAATCCATCGAGGAGCTTCACTCGACAGTTCCAGGTTTTCCCCGGGCGCAGATGGCCCTGGGAAAGCGGCTCTTTCTGCAGCTGCTGCGCAGCGACTTCTGGGAGAAGTGGGTCGCTGCTGGGGGGGAGAGCCCATCGAAGATCGTCCATTTGTTCAAGAAGGACATGTTTGTGCGACTGGTCATGGAATAAGACAGAGACTCCCTGAGAGACGGTCTTGCCGGAGTCAAGCGGCACATGCGCACGCGCCAGAAATGTTCTCCTTTCTTTCTCCACGCACCATGTTTTTTTCCGGCTGCCCGCGAAACACGGCTACGGGGTGAGTGTCTGTGGAGCATTGGTTCAAATTCGTGCCCTTTTCTCTTCACGCACGTTATCGGCCCTCCGATTTCGCACGCGCTGTACAGTGTACAGAAGGGGAGACACAACAATAAAGAATGCAGTGCCGGAAGTCTCCAAGTCTCCCTTCAGCACGCTTCGTGCTCAGAGACTTCTGTTTCGCCCCGAAAACCTCCGAAAACCGCTCGATCCGCCGCACATCGCCAGGATTGACATGCCCGTGAAGTCCGAGTCCATGGCTGGCGGACGAGGCGGCGATTTCGTGAGTTCGCTTCAGAGCCGAAGTGTCCTTCCGAATGGCACAGGATAATCATGTGTCAGCATCCATTTGGAACCTTGTTGGAACAAAGAAAACAGGGTAGCCTCAAATTTGCTAGAACCAATGCATTTCGGGTCGCTCAATGTGTTGACGACCTTGCAGTGCACTTGACAAGCATTCTGTCGTTGCAGTGGTCAAAACGTCACAAAGCGAGAATCTCTTCATAGGAACGCCAGCAAAGGTACGTGCCAAGTAAAAGCAAGAAAGAGCGTTTAGAGTGGAATCTGGTCGGTTTTGGTTGTGTGCGCACAATGGCCAGCAAGCAGATGACCTTTCCCTCTTTTGTGCTTGTTCAACCTTGGCACGGCTAGGCTACAACTTCCTCGAGGTGGTCCGCTGGTTCGCCAAGCGCCAGGGGGCCTACAGCAGCTGTGATTCCCGCGATTTGGGTGTTTCTTGAGATTGGCAGAGTGGGAATTCCCGTGGTGCTTGGGGCATGCTTGTCAGGGGAAAGTCAACTTTTTGCGGAGGAGTTCCACAATTTCAAGTCGCATCGAAGGATCTACCGCCCACCTTCGCGAGTTGTGAGCGGCTTTGCTTCGCTCGCTCCGGTTCTCGAGGTGCGGACCTGATCCTTTTGCTCTTTGACCCCGACAGGCGACAAAGCATCCGCGGGAAGAACCAGTTGCGTGCCATTCTCTAAGTCTAGAGCGCTTTTTACGCTGTGAAACGAGAGAAAGGATGTGACGGTCCTTCCCTAAGGACTCCTCAATTCAAGTTCGCATCCTAATTTTGACTGCACGTTGGAGGCCTTGCAGGACTTTGATTCCCACAGGAGAGATGAGATTGGTGAAGAACAGGGCAACCCCAAAATGGCGCAAGCCCTGGTAAAGTGACACATGGACTGAAACCTGCGCTGGTAAACTGGGGATCGATCCTATGGGTACGGATCCGCAGGCCGGGCACCACGGGGGAGTCCCTGGATGTGCTGACTCGCTCCATGGCCGGCGACTTGGGACTCAAACATAGGGTGGACCCCTACATGGGTTGCCCCAAAGTGGACACCTGGATAAAGAAAACAGGGCGAAATGGCAACCACATCTTGGACTTTGGCGGTGATATCATTGATATCAACAGCTCTCACTGACTGTCCCAGGCAGTTTTTGGTTTAGCCCCGAGACCCCTCCATTTCAAAAGCTGGAGTGGCCGCAACCTGCAGAAAAAAACGGCGTGTGGTTCTCCAGCTCGGAGTCCCGAATGCGATGCCGAGGCAGGCTTGGACCACAAGTTCGTCATCATCCTCAACAAGGCACGCCGCACGCCGGGCGGGGCTTTCGGCAGTCATTTCGCACAAGGTGCCCCATGCATCACATGAATGTGGGCCTCTGTCTTTTTTGGAAGGTACTCATGCCCCCTTTGTGCGGTTTAAAGAGAAACTACCATCTTTGGGGGTCCCCTGAAAAAGACAGCCATGAAACAAAGATTCATTCCAGATGTTGGTTTCAACCGTTTGGAGCCAGTATGGCCTCGCGGCTGCACAAGGCTGATTTCATGCGGAGCAAGCAAGAGGGAAGGCCATGACATCAACCAGGAGATGATGCGTGTCACGACATACGGCCATTCCCAGTATGAGTCTTTCTCCAACAGCGCGGAAGCCAGGCCAACCTTTGAACCGTTCGTTGTTGTTTGTTTGTTATGGCCAATGTTTGGGCATGCTTTTACTATTATCATTTTGTCCAGGGCCCTTTAGTTCTTGGCTGCTCTCTCGTTTTTTTCTCTGAGCGACAGCTAGATCAAAATACCAATCCTGGGTGTGACGAGAGGTTTGGGCAGCTTCCGGGGAATCAGTTTTGGACAACGATGCTATTTGAAGCACTCTTTCCAACAATTATGGAAGTGGACAGGGGCTTTCGGCATATCCTGCCGGGTGTTGGGAATGAACCGGAAGGGATTCCCTTAAAGGAAACAAAATCGGGGGTGGTTTTTCTCGGGGTTCCAATTCAGTCTTCCAAAACCCTCCTGCGGATGTGTTTCGGTACCTGCAGCCACTGGGCTGGGTTTTGGGGTGTGCTGTTTCTGTTGTCAACCCCCTCCTGCCAGCTTCCCTGATTGTTGGGAACATGGCTGTGGGTCAAAGCCAATGCTATCCCATTTTGGTGGGTAGGTGAATTCACCACCCATTTTAGAACCTATTTTAGTGGGGGTTGGGATGTTCACTGGGGGTGCGATTTGGATTTTGACCCAGGGCCATATTACCCGACCATCCAGAGGTGGACCAGCTGGACAGCAGCGTGGACTTCGCGCGCGCCTACGGCACCCTGGGCTGGGCCCTCTCCAAGGCGCGTGTCAGTTGGGCTCGTCGTTTTCACGAAAGCTAGCTTTAGCTAGCTGAAGTTTCTCCTTGCGTAAGCAAGGTAAGGGGCTCAAATGCCGAAAGATTGATTTTTTCAATTATTTGAGCCGAAAAGATTGAAAAACATCAATTATTTAGACCCCCCCCCCCGGGTCTCAGGCTCGATTCCTCCCTGGTCCATCCCCCCCCCCGGGCAGTGGCTCAGTGTTCAGCAGTCTCGGTTTGCCCGTTTTGGACTTGGTGCTACGAACTTTTACATGTTCCACCGATTCAGCTTGTTCATTTGAGACCTCAGTCTTCTCAGTAAACCACCTCGCAAGAATCTTTGCACACGCAGCATGCAGAACCCAGAGGTGCTTTAAGACAGCTTCTGACGCCTCTCGTTGTTTTCATTTTTCAAGGTTTGCCACGCCACCATGTGCGTTTGCGTGTCGCATCCTACGAATCTTGCCGGGCCTCTCGTTGTACACAAGCTACCCATGAATCCACTCTGTCACCGACCCATCTCATGCAACAACTGCTAGCTTTCGTTCACCCGCTCCTCAAGTGCTGTTTTCGAGGGAAACCAAGAGGACATCCACCGTTTTGGGGAGTCCCCTTTAAAGAATCACACACTCATTGTGGGTCTTGGGAGGTTATGTGGAAATCTTGATTTTGAGGGTGTTGCCAACTAAATTTTGTAGAGCCACGTGGCCCCACGACATTAAGGGGGCAGGGAATTTGAAGAAGGCTTTTGACTAGCGTCAGAGCGGGGTATCCCGTGATGATGCACCATGTTGTGTTCTTCCTGTTGGAACAGATAGCTGGACGTTGGACCACTTGAGGTTGCAGTGCTGGCAGCTTAGGTTGTGATTCTGGTGTAGTCGCTGGTGCATCGTTTCCAACACCAGCTGTGCTCTTGTTGGAAAAAAGCTTAGTCTTTGCCAGTCACAGTTTTGACAGCTTTTGTTTGTGTACTTTTGATCGTTCGCGTTGCAGCGTTTGCCATGTGGAGCACTTTTGGAATAGACATGCATACGTTCTGTGGCCAATCAGCGATTTGAGATCCAAGCCTCGCCGCTTGCTTGAACGTGGACATAGCATGTCTCCCAAAGCCAAAAGACACCGACCGCTTTTTCTGGGCTACCCCATTTTAGGGCATGTAAGCACTCAAAATATGATCATCCACCCAGACCTTGTACAGGTTCCCATAGAATTGGCCCTTCGCGTCAGGTCATCCCGAGGAAGGCCTGCTGATCAGCTGGCGGGCAAGGGTGGGAAGAAATTCGCGGCAGAAACCTCCACTTCGAATTGTGAATTGACGTTTGGATTGCCTTTTGATTGACGCACTTCCTGGATCTCTGCGTAAATGCTTTCAAATGAGCCGCAAACAAAGAGCCTGGTAGGTGAAGGTCAGTAGAAAGCAGAGCCAGAAACATTTTTTTGCGATGCGTTGCGCACATGTGTCTTTGTGTCGATAGAGCGGGCCCATTGGCTCTTAACTGGAGCAGGTGCTTGCGCTGCAAACTCATGGCGCGCCTCTTTGCTTTTTGGAATGGGCGTTTAACGTTTCTGAGGGCTGCCAACGGGAATTGAACCACACATTGGGAATATATTGTCAGAATGATCGTGCCATTTGTTCGCAAACAGGCGTGACCGCCTCGGTTAAGCCGCCTGATTGAGGGCATGGGCAAGACCACGCGAGGTCACTGATAGAGTTTGCGTTTCGTTGATAGCAATGCTAATGTTAACCCCGGATTAATAAACCTCTGGTTGATTAGTAAGGGGATGTCCCCTTTTAGTGGGGATTCATCACTTTTGGAGGGAACACCCCCTAATAATGGGACGGGTTTATTAATCCTGGGTCAACATTAATGTGCGAACTCGGCTATTTTAATTGCACATGCATCCCATTCCCGAGTGCATTCGCGGCAACAGCGGCTCCGACCTCGATTCCTGCCCTCGCTTGCCAACCGGCCCGGCCGTTTTTTTCGCATCGCGATGCCGGACATTGCCAAGTCGGATATCTCCTCCAACTTGGACCGGGACAAGATGTTCCTCGGCTGAAGTGCCTATGGCTTATTCTTATCCACTGGCACTTTTGCCAGTGTGAAGTGCCGAGATTTGCCAAGTTGCCTAGCTCTGAGTCTTCAAGTCAGGCGCGACTAAAACCTGCGGTTGCCTCGCTCCGCGTGTTTGTAGTCAATCCCCATACCCTCTGGGTTTGTTTTGAGCCTTTGCCCAATGTTTGCTGCTGGCGACCTAGGTTCTCGGAGCTGTGGTGGCTGAACTATTGCTTCTGCGAGGGCGTTGGCATCGGCGCAGTGGGTAACCCATTCTTTGGAGGTGAGGCAGTGAACATATGCCTGCACCTCGGTGGGAGAGAGGAACTGCACGCACATATCAGTGCCCACTTGGACCACCCTACCCTTCCCAGTTGACATTAGGAAGTGTCAGACATATCTGAAGTAGAATCACCGTTTCTCTTCTGAATCAGTGTACCGCATTAGGCTAAGCAACTGCATTTCTTCTCGTGCAAGGATTTGCTGGTCTGTTGGCCAAAAGGACAGGCTTGCAAGCACCCAAGCCAAGATTGACGAGCGCTGCTAAGAGTAAGGATTGTCTGGGTTAATTATGGGTGGTCGTAGCCACACGTCACATGCCTTTGTCTGATGTGATGCCCCCTACCACCAAAAGTCAACGCTGAGTTTGCTAGCCGCTCCCCGAAGTGATGTGTGACATTAAGTAGAGAACATGTGCTGACGTGCTACACCGTCTCTTAGGTATGATAGTAGTAGAGGAACCCTTGAAACTGTAATAATTTACCATGTGTGTTCCAAAGTAGTGAGCCCTCACGCTCTCCCGATTTTGGTACGATCCTTGTGTTGAGTGTCTGGAGCATACGCTTTTGTCAAAACGCACCCCTCGGCATGTACATCATCAGCGCTTCGAAAGACGTGGGGAGTATTACCCTCCCACCAATGAACATGGAACCTGACAGGGGGTCCCATGAAAAGGAAAATGGTCCAATCCAGGCCCCCGAAACGTCGGGTTCCATGTACAAAGGGTGGGGAGCATTCACTAATTCGTTGGCGAGGGTGGTAGTTTTTCTTCTTCGAGGCACTCGAAGTGTGAGATGACGGACATTGGGGACCCCTTCTGCGCCTCAATGCGCGTGTGTCTCTGCATCACGGACCAGTGCTCCTTGCCCCCGGCGTCCGGGAGTCCCATCTGCGTGTGCTTCAACAAGAAACTGGCGGGGGACGACGGGTGGTCCCAGCAGCAGCTCTTTGCCGCCTGGGCGATGTTTCGATTTTTGTGCTCGCCAAGTTTTTCCAAGTCGTTTGGTGTCGGTTGGGGTTTTCATCAAAATTTCGGTGGCGAAGAGGATTTCAGGGCGCGACTCCTGCCAAGTTCCGTCACTGAACTGGGTTCTAGTATGATCGAAGCCAGAAGGGCAGAAACATCGGCATTGGATGTTTGGGTTTCCTTACAAACAAAAACAATCTACCCTTGTGACAGGGGCTTAGCAGTGAGGCAGGAAGGAAGGCAAGTGGGGAGTCCGAAGGAGGCGCTGTTGGTTGTGTGAATCTCGTTCACGGGCGTGCGTTGCCCGATCATGTGCATTTTGCTTGAGCAGCTACAGCTACAACAGTGCCGATTCGGCCCAGGCGGGCCGCCTCAACGGCATCACGCCGCGATTGCCATGGAGTGAGAAGGCCTTTCTGCAGAGCGCTTCGAGCCTCACAACTGGCCTTGACAAGTTGGCACTGGAGCCGCACCTGGAAACCTGGTGCGGCATCAGGTCTACAAGGCGTGGAGGCCATCCTTGCCGTGGGCACCCGGCCGACCAGATCCCAGGACTTCAAGCCCACTGGCGGATCTAGCTTTCTGTGCGCCACGCGACCGTCCCCCCAACGGACAAGCAGGTTGCGGACTCCAAGGCGGCGAAAGCCCATAGTCTTCTATTCAGCTGCCGCTCGACGACGTCATGGACGGTTAGATCTTGGGCAGCTTCGCTGGCATCAGACCAGCGAACAGCAGGAGCAGGAAGACAGGATCGGACTCCTCGCCAGATGACGACAAGCCACGACCCAAACGCGAGCAGGCCAAGTCACTCGACAGAGAACTGCGAGTTCATCAACCTTCCCGAGGCCGTTGCGCGGAAGGCCTTCCAGTCCGTCGAGAAGGAGGTGCCCGGGTGAGATCAAAGCCAAATGCTGGATTGTTGTTCTTGCGCTTATGTAGATGCTGCTTGCGAGGACTTTGACACCAAACAGGCCCGCAAGCTCTTCAAACGGGGCGGCGTTTCTTCGGCCCAGGTCAGCCAGGGACGGCGCGTTCACCATGTTCAGGGTCGACTTTGGCAGGGCGGCTGGAACGTTGTGCACGGGCGGCAGCCCAAGCAACGCCGGAGGTTTCCGCGACGGCTTGGCTGAGGCTCCAGCGCTGCGCTCCATAACCAGGCGCATGCAGACAGAGCCAGACGGTCTTTTCCATTCAGCATGTCCCCATCAATTTGCTGGAGAAACGCAGCGGTCAACCGCACCTTGACCATCCAAGGCGTTGGCAGTCAGTGTGATGGACTGGTGATCTCGCAGATGCCCCAGAGCGTGCCGCTCTAGGCTGGCGTCAGAAGCGTCCGCGGCTGACGAAGGAGCGCTCCATAACCTGCAGGGAGTAGACACGAAAAGTCGCTGTGAGACTGCGTCGTCTCCCCGGGCAGCGGCGCGTGCTTTCAGACAAGCAGTCGATCATCAGCGTCCGCGCAGAGGTTGCAGCAGGGGGGTTCCGACCCATAGCGGCGCGCCGAACCCTGAACAAGGTCGAGGGAGCAGATGCGGACCTAGCAACTTCAACCATGCGCGAAGCTGCGTGACCTGCGAGGTCGAGCAGTGTGAATCTCGTTCGCGGGCATGCGTTGCCCGATCATGTGCATTTTGCTTGAGCAGCTACAACGCTGCCAATTTGGCCCAGACGGGCCCCCTGGAGTTGCCTTAACGGCGTCGCGCCGCGATCGCCATGGAGTGAAAGGGCCTCTTTGCAGAGCGCTTCGTGCCTCGCAACTGGCCTTGACCAGGTAGGTTGAATGAAGGCGTAAGAGGGAGGATTTGGGCGGGTTCTTTCAAGTGTTTTTCATTTCGAGGAGGTTCTGTTGTGCCCTTTTCCTTGCTTATTGACAACCTGAAGCAGGTCTGCGGAAATTTCATCGAGCTTATTTAGCTCACTTCGAGTTTCGCGGTAGTCGTGGCAGTGGAGCCGTTGAATTGGGCTCCCGTGCTGAAAGGGTAAAGGGTTTTGTCCGCTGGGAACTCCGGGGACTTGGGATACCCAGCATCAAATGTGTTGTTTCTTTTGGGTCCATTTTTTTGCGATTCTTCATGTTTTTTGGGATCGGCGAATCTCCAAAGCAACAGCGGCGAACGATCTGTAAGCCGCAAATCGTGTAACTCGATTTTTTTGCGGTTGGTCTGGTGTGCAACTCCTGGTTGGTTTTTCAAGGAGTTGCGTGCCAAACCCTTTTCAAACAAAACTTGTTTTTTTCCATGGGGGCAGCTGTTGAACTGAGTTTTTGGCACTGCTGTCTAGTTTTCACAGGAACATAAGCTATAAGCTGGCATGCAGGTTGTTTTTTTGGGGGGCACAGCTGCATTGTTTGAGCGGGAAGGTTTTCCTTGCAGTAGCCGCACGAGGATTGGTCCACTGGCTTCGGTGACACCTTTTGGGTCTACTACATTTTCTGTGACCTGGATCAGATTCGTGTGAGAGGCTTTGGGGAGCCAGTGGCAATGGTTTCCCAGCTGTTCTTCAAAACAACCACCAACAAGGGCCAGCTGTTTCGGGGGCGTGTGTGCATGCGTACATGCAAGCGTGGGTGGGCTCTTCAATGGTGGCAAGGCGCAGGTGTCACGGTGAATTCCTTTCGCAATAAACCTTTTTGGCTTTGGCGGTTCACACGATTCAATCACCAGTCTGCGGCTTCCCAAGCATCTTTGTTTTGGGTTGATTCCATACAAGTTGCTGCTCGACCTGTCAAAGATGGCAAGCTCGTATAAACACCATGTTTGGACACTGCCTCATATGCTGTCCAAGACCAGACTGTGAGGCATGGGCTGTGGCGTGTCCAAGCCTCTGGACAATGGGCGTCCCTTGTTTGCCGTGCAGGCAAAAGAGACGCTCGTCAGAGATGGGGGCCTTGGATCTTGGCCGGGCTCGCAGTTTTCCTTTCCGGGAACGGAACTGCGGGTTGGGCATTTGGGCTGTGGCATGGGCCTCATTCCCCGAGTGCAAAGGAGCAAATGCCACTTGAACCAGAACGTTGCTCAACCTGAAGCCGAGTCACCAGCCCACTTGAGTCTGCGAGGCTGTGCATTAAAGGGGGCACGAAGCTGGCGACTCCGATGGAGGGGGGCAAGCTCTGCTCCGCTGTGAGTACCCGCTTGTGCCTGTGGGATCAGTGTGCAATGCCGCCGGCTGAAGGAGATAGTGGGACCACGGGCACCCCCCCATGGATTTCGGTTCAAATCGGTTTCCCTTTGAACCCACAAAAAGGGGTGAAAAACAGACGAGCCACCCAAATGCATTATATTCTTTTCTTGGCTCGCAATTTGTCGAGCGGTGCTGTTCTGTGCTGTGACCTAGGAGTTTGCGAGTTTGACATGTACAGCGCTTGTGTTGACAGGTATTTGAGCAAACACCTCGACCCTGGGGCTTATTTGGGGCTTATTAATGTAAGATGGGACAGTTGCTCGAATTGCCAAGCGACAAAGAAGGCCACACCGACCAGCCTGGCCCTTGTTTTTTTCCCCGCCGTGATTTTACAGCCGCTGCCAAAGATGGACTCGGCCTGATGGATACGCAGCCTTTGTGCAGGAGCACCGATGTTCGTGTGCTTCAACTTCCTGAACCCCAAGAGCGGCGCGAAGCCTTTGGCCTACGGAGCGCAGCTTGCCCGAATCACGCTGGCAGTCCAGTCTGGATCCCGATCCCGGGTGTCTGAAGCCATGCTGGAAGACTAGAAATGCTGGACATGCTGGGGGGCAAGTGGGGCTGTTCGCTGAATTTCCACGGCTCGCATGGCTGAAAAAAAAAACAGTCAGCTCATACTCCTTGCCAGCGTTATGGGGAAGCATGGCTCATGTAGCTGCACATCTCAGCTTCCACGTTTTGGTGCGCACCAGAGAGCTCGGACTGGCGTGTGAGCCATGGTCAGCAATTGCATTGAGACATTTGACAAAGTGAGGGTTTCCGTTGAGGGAGAAATGCGATTCTGGGAGGTTTAACCATGGGGCACACACACACACACAGTGGACGGGAGTAGTTGATAAATGTTCACCCGGTTGCCTTTTCTGCCTGCTTGCCTAGGTAAGTGCCAGAGAATGTGTCGGGGTGAACGCTGCCAGCGAACCGGCTGGGGCGGGTGCTATCTACTCAGCACAACGCACAACGACAGCTCCGTTTCCGGCGGTATGAGACCTCCGGCATGGAGTGGTTGTTTTCGACTTGTTCCTTTCAAGATCTTGACTCTGAACTCGCCTTGCACTCAGATGAAAAGGAGTTGGCAAGCTAGGGGTTTCTGCATGGACATCCGCCCAGGTGGTGTATGCCCGCTGGCTTCTAGGATTTGCCTGAGTATATTTTTGGGATGTCCGTCTGACCCAGAGCCGAGTGGTGGCCTGTATGACTTCACTTGGTGGCTCCCAGCCATCCCCTTCGCTTTTTAGCTTTTTAGTGTTTAGTGGGGTTTTCCATGTAGCCCACTAAAAGTTAAACTTTTAGCGGGGGATTGAGGACAGCCTAGTTCATAATGTGTATCCTATGAGCTTCATTGTGCAAGCCCCCGTCGACATATTTTGAGCTCTGCTCAAATGTGTGGAACCGCGCGGCATTTTTGCGAGCTTTATCTGCCCGCTTTGTCAGACTGGACCTTCCCCAAAGCGCATTGGACGCCTCATGAAGAACTCAGCATCTGGATGGTTGATGCTCATTAGCGTCGGGTTGATTGGGCCTGAAGGAGGTGCAGCATATCTTTGGCCCCCAGCAACTTGCCACTCCTTGTACTAGCTTGCCACCTCCACTTCCTCCACCAGCGTTGGATTTACAGGGTTTGTTTAGCGGGTTCTTATGGAGGCATGGGTGTGCCTGGTAGATGCGCAATTTTGCGAAATATGTTGCTTGGCACCAGCACATGCTTCCGCTCTTTTTGGCCAGGATATCCCCCAGATCTACACGATGTACAATGCTGGCGTGGAGCATGCCGAGCCAGGGCCCAAAACGACTCTAGGACAATGCATCCATTCGGGTCCAGCTGGATTGCTGTTTTGTCCCAGCCTACATTTGCATCATTCACGCCTCATTCGGAATCGTTTGGAGCCCAAATATGGAACCATTCGGAGCCAGAAGATTGGCAAAGAGTACGCTCCTGGTTTTATGAACACTGGGCAATGTGCAACGGTCCACTCATTCGGCCGCACACGTTAAAGCTGATGTATGCCTAGGCAATTTTAGTAAGAGCGTTCAGCCAGCCTTACTCTTGCCCTTTCAAACGCACCGTAAGGGCCCTTCATTTAAAAGACTCACCAACCTATGGAGATAGACATCAGATTCGTCAGAATCTTAAGGAAGATCCACAGCCAGGAACGGGGTGCGGCAACACAAGCTCCCGCTGGAGGCTTGGAGGGTGGGGGGTTCATTTCAAAAGGAACAGCAGAGACCTATTTGGTGTTTTTTTTGGGGGGACACCATCCTAAAATGGGTACCAAAGACGAGCCACCTAATTGGGAAGTGGGCAATTGGTTTGAGACGGAAACCACGCGGGTTTCCAAGAGGTGGATCAGTAAGACAGTTCCTAAGGTTGGGACAAGGGCTGGAGCCGAAGGTCATAGAGCAGAACTCAGGGCAGTTTATGGCAAGCTCATCCATGGTGAAGATCCCTCACTGGGACAAATCACAAATTTAGGATTTTTGATTTCCATTGGTTTGCCCACAGAGGGGCGCGGTCTGTGAAACAAACTCCGAAGACAATGATACCTCACGGATAATTTTTTGGGCTAGGCAACCACAAGTTGGATGTTTTATTGGGGGTCATTCCATCTTTCGCACCAGCAAGTTTTCCCTCTCTACTGCTATTGGGTTGGATCTTTAGACTTTGACTCTTTGGATTCCCCTCATATTTCCATTTAACCAGCAAAAGGTTTAACTTTTTGCTGGGGGATCTGCAGCACCCAGCCATGAGATCTGAGTTTCCCGGGCTCCGCGGGGATCGGCGAAGCAGGCCTTCCGGCAGAAGCGGCAGGAGGTGGTGCAGGAGGTGCTGCGCGCGCGCACCCGGCACTGGGACAACGTGATCACGGCAACGGAGGCGTGGCGTTGTCCGATGTGGCGATGGCTGTCAAAACCGATGGCACCCCATTTTGGTTAGGTGAACTCACCACCCATTTCAGAACCTATTTCAGTGGGGATTGGGGGGTACGGGATTTTGACCCATGGCCATGTCCCACGAGTCCAAGCAGTTACTATGACTGAAGAGTCCCAGGGGTTCAAAACTCGCATAGAAAATCACAAGGTATTGCTGACGAACAACACAACGAGTGCATTCTTTTGCCTTCTCTCCTTTTCCAGCAAATCAGGGGACAGATTTGTAGCAGGCTAGTTGTGGGGAATGGCCATCCTGTTGATAGTGCTTTCTTCAGAACGGCTCGAACGACTGGCCGAGAAGTTTGTGTGACATAACAGGTTGATGAGGGAATGGCCCAGATCAAGCTACACCAACCGGCGGAACCATCAAGCAATGAGTTGCTTAAGCTCCTCTTACACAGACCAGTTCAAAGAAGCTCATTTTCCCATTGGCCCGGGCCCGTTTTGGGGGCCGTTCTGGATCACCCAAAAGGGTATCATGTAACATAACATCATGTAATATACAATTAATATATTATATGATATATATATATATATATTTCCCCCTTGGAGGACACCATGCGCCAGCTGGAGATGGTGTGCACCGTCGCCATGGCGGTGCGGAAGCGGGTCCGGAAGCGGGGGCGCCCGGTTTTTTGGGGGCGAAAAAGCGAGGCGAAGTTCGGTGGGAGATGTTCGCAATCCTTGCGCCCCCGGGGCGGGGGGGGGGGGGGGGGGGGGGGGGGGGTGTTTTCCAGGTAAAGATTTGGTCTTCTCATCGGGCATTTTGCGCCCCTCCCCTCTCCCCCCCCTCTCCCCCCCTTTTCCCCCCCCGCTCCCTGCAGTTTCTTCTTCTTGAAGGTCTTTCCAATCGTTTGCATTGAATCTCACCCGCCAATGGAGGTTCGACCAGCGCTGGCTCGAGTGGACGACTTGGAAAATGGTTTTTGGCGTGGAAAGAAGGTGCAGCAGTTGGGTTTCTGGGGAAGGGCTTGTTTTGGACAGACTGGTCAGGCGATCAGTCCGGCAAGAAGCCAGTGCATATGCTCATATGCGCCTTGTATGCTGGAATGTGTGTCCAGAGTGTGCCAGCTTGCGCAATTAACAGCTATATGACAATTGACGCCCGCACACACAGCCCCGAATCTGGAAAGCACTCGCGCGCACCGCGTTCATATCATTGCGAGTGGATCGCATTTCCTGGCTGGTGCACCTGAGTGCACATGGCAACGAGAATTGCAACTTATGATCGCCACATCTAAAGCCTGCAGAGTTTGGATTGAACCCAATGGAATGCCATGTCTGTCACCAAAGCTGTGTGACCAGGACCGAGTCCTTTTTATTGGCATTGCGGGCAGTAAGAACCAGATGACTGATGTTGCTGCTTTCACCACAGCCTTTTCAGCAATGTTCGACAACAGCAGCTTCCTTGTTCTTGGTGCACTTTCCGGTCAGAAATTCACGTCATACTTGTAGGAAGTCTTCTTCTCCGCAAAGAGCATGTTGTAAGCGATTCCTTGTAGGGGATTCGGGATACAGGGATGCTGTTGAGAGTGGCAGCAGCACTATTGAACAGGTTGTGAGTGCTCACGACTGCTGCTGTTGCTGGCGCTGCCAGCTCTGGTTGCTTCTCTCTCTCTTTGCCCTAGGCAGCGCAACGACGTTATGTCCTGGTCCCTTAGCTTACTAGGCCGGTTGGGCAGGGAAGGCAGGGACGACGGGCTGGATGCTTATTGGATGAGCTGTGTTTGCCATTGCTTTGCAGAGGCGATACTTGCGCCATATCGATAGTTTCACTGAAATGAGGTCCATCTAACCGCTGACTAAGGATCTCTCAATTCTCAATCACGGGGGTTCCGCCCTACCTGAAAGGGACAACTCCCGGCACGGCGCATTTGATGCCTTTGTTGCACTTCACCCTGCCACAAAGCTGGAAGAAGGGTTTAGGAGCCCCTAAAAGAGTGTAGACCCCCTCGTTCAGGGGCGTATTTCAACCCAAATAAGATACGTGCTCAACTTTTAGGGAGACTATGCCATGAAATTCAATGCGTGTGTCTTGTTTTGAGGGCGACCCCCCCCCCCTACCCCCCCCCCCTACCCCCGCCCCCCCCGCACCATTTTTGTTCAAGGAACACGGAAGGAACACCGAAGTCCATTTCGGGGGCGCCGAACTCCACCAGCGTAGCTGGCTCTTCAGGCATCCCCGGCCTTGTGGCGGGCAAGATCCTGCACGACAAGTGGCCAGGCGAGCCCCGGCGAGCCCCGGCTTCCGGCGAAGCCGGCTTCCTACAAATCCCCCGGCGGATTCACGAGGGTCCTTTTCGTAAGAGACAAAGCGAAGATCACCTGTTGACCTGCGGATTTAGAGGACAGCTTTGCTTAAAGGTGGTTTTTGGATCAAAGTTTCTCTCGCTCCAAGCCAAGCTACTCTGAATCTGCAGAGCTGTTGAACGTTGAACCGCTGGGGTGATAGGTATGATCTGTCGTAGGTTCTTCGAGAGAAGTCAATATTTGTCATGATCACCTCCTTGAAATGACATGCACCACTAGCCTGACAGCTTGCCGCGCTCAGCCACGTGCCCATGTCAGGAAACCGCTCGCTTCAGGGAGGCGCGCAGCTTGTGAGTTGTGATGCTAAGCCCACACCAAACTCATCCAAGGGGATTTAGTATTGAACTGGGGTCCCCATGGCTTCAGGCAGACCATACTTTTGGACAGTGGTAGGCTCACATTGACGGTGCGCCTGCGTCATTGCACTGGCCTGAAGTAGGATTCCAGAGGTACAGCGCATCTTGAAGCTTCACCAACCTTCGTTTGGCTGGCTGCACAAATGTCACCAGAGGGAACTTTCTTGGGGAGTCGCGGCGATGTATTTGGCGCAGGCTTTTGGTCGGCCTTTGCCTTGCTGGGCTTCGGCGTGACACGCTTCGTCTTCGAGCAACCGGGGAAGGGGGGAAGGGTGGGCGATGTGGGCGATGTGGGCCCTTTTATAGTGGAGTTGGACTTTGTACTCTTTGATTGGCAAAGAAGTTGGACACTTTTCTTTGGCCAGTCCACTCAACTGAGCATGAGATCACGGAAGATCTTTGTGGCCGGGCGAGCGCAAACTATGCGCAGCAGTGATTTGCAAACAGCTGGGCTTTTATCAGCCTTTCGGATTCCTGTCTTGCCCGTTGCTGGTTGACCACTTTCAGTGACAACTCGCAGACAGAGGTGTCTCCGCTGCCATCGGGATTGGCGTTATTCCTTGGACCGTACGGGTATGGCAACTCCTGTCCTACCTGCAGGGCTTTCGGAGCTATGACAGCTCAAATTGAAAAGAGCACCCAGGACATCTGCAAAAGCAGGGGCCCGGCGTCCGATTCCTGAAGCCTGTGATTTATGTAATATGTACCGCCAGTTATTTCTCCGCCTCGTGACCAGACGCCTAGCCTCAAGGCCGCGTGCAAAGCCGTGCCGGCAGCTTGACGCTCCATCTTATCTTCAAATGACAGGGATTGGCGATTGAAGAGCGCCCTCAAATGCGACGGTTTCCAGCACGGCATGACACATTCAAGCAGAGACAAACAGATGCTAAGACCGCACAGCACAAGCCTCAACGGCAGTGACCAGCACGCTTTGCAAGAGTTTTCTTGACCCGAGCACGTGTTTGCTCCAACATGATCCCCAGCAACCCGGCGTCCCTGTTGGAAAAGTTGTCCGTCAGGTGAAACGCTGAGATTTGGAGCGAGTTGCGAAGAACTTCCCGCTGCAAAGGCGCGCGAGCGCCCAGCGCAGGGAGGCGCCATGGGGAGCTATGGCCAGCTGTTGAGTTCGCAGCTGCAGGCCCTGCGCAGCTCGACGGCGATCGGTTTGCATCCCTTTTGGGCTGGGACACACAGGACAGGAGACAATCCCAACAGGAGAAAACAGGAGAGCAAATCCATTTTACAACAGGAGGAACAATTCCATTTTGCATCCATTTTTGCATCCGACCAGGTGAAACAAACGCCAAACGAAGCCTCTCCCACCACCCAAAGCACGCAGTCAGCGCCTCGCCGAGGCGAGACGCTGCTGGAGCGCCACGAGGCGGAAGTGCGGAGCCGCCTCGACGCGGAGAGGGGCGAGCGGAAGGACGGAACGTGGCGGTGGGGTGGCGAGGGTAGGCTGGCTGGTGGAGGTTTTTTGGATTGGCGCCCAAAACGGGAGTGAATAGGGGGCAGGGCTTCTTAAAAGATACACTTTGCCCATTTGAAACATGGCTTTTTTCACCAAAATACAGGGAAACCGCCATTTGCAAGGCAATGTTCAGGTGTATAATATACGGATCCCTGAGGGGTGAAGGGGATGTATGGAGGCTTTTATGGTGTAGGCACCGGGGAAAAGTCGCATGTCACCCGTTGAATGGCCTGATGTCCCGAAGCTTGCCCGAGAAGTCGCTGCCTTGGATGAGTCACCTGCTGTCTGCAGGAGACGGAAGCTGTGTCGAATCTTGGCAGAGGTTTTGTGCGCGTGGGGTCCTTTCGTGCGGTGGCGCTAAAGAGAACCAGGGGACACCAACCCGGTGCCCAGACGTGGGCAAGCCAAGCAGATGTGTAAGATGGTCATCGGCCCACCGAAAAGGTTGACACTGGGCTTCTGGAGTTCTCGAAGAGCAGATGCAAGTGGCTCACACCATGCTTCACATGCAGACACACACAGACACATTCCTGATATGACTGTTGCCTAGAAAAGTCCAAGCACACGGCCAAAATGGTAAAGGCATTGACAAGGACTGCGGGAGGATTGCGAGTTGAAGCTGAATGCAACCCCTTTCTGTGGTTTGGAGAATTCCAAGCCGTCCATTGGCATTTTCCAAACTCTCAGCAGCAAAGTTCCTTTTTTCCACCCGGGATTCTGCTCAACCCCCACCCCCAAACCCACCCCCGACTCTCACCCCGCCCCCAACCCCATCCCCCCCACCCCACCTTCCCCACCCACCCCACCCGTCCACCCCCTGCCCACCCCCCAACCGCCCCGGCTTGGTTTCTCGCCGAAAAGCTCTCGCGCGGCTTCTCGAGGGGCCGCTGGCTGGAGATGAGCACGAAGCTGCTGGAGCAGCGCTGGGAGCCGCAGGAGGAGCTGGTGCCCAAGGAGATGGAGGCCAGCGACGAATCGACGACCCATTCGGAGGGCGGAGGGGTGAGGGGTCGGCAGGGTTCCACTTTTTGACTACAAGATGGGCTTGACTATTCGGGTGGAGCTGACCCGGCGTCGCGTTGTTTTGGGTGGAACACGGAATAATCCATCGGTTCTCCAAAATCAGGATGGGTTCGAAGAGGTTCTTCTCTGTTCCACTCGGAGCCTTGGTTACGTCCAAGCTGTCGTTTCAGATTGCAAAAAGGGCGCTTTGGGCGTCCAACGCGCTTGTGGTCCCAAATCCCTGGCCTTTCTCTTCAGGAAAGGAGCGGTGGTTCCAGCGAATTGCTGTTGGGACTTGTTAAGCACGAATTTGGAGTTGAGGATACTGCCACTGTGATTGGGACTTGAACACTTAGTATTTTTCTGGACCTGGGTGATCTGATGACGCCTTGGCAAGAGAACACCGCACTCAAAGTACATCGCTTGGCAGAGACAATCCATGCCCGAAGATTTGATTGATGAAAGGCTCTGCCCAGTTTCAGGCGTATAGCGGCTTCATGTGCCTTCTGCATCGGAGTGAATGGCTTCAGATGTTGGCAATGTTCATGCTGGTTGTTTTAAGAGGTCGGTCACCTGTGGCCAGTGTTTGCGACGCTCGCATTGGTCACGGAGAGGTGTGCGTTCGGACACCCAGGCCTTAAGTAAAGTTGAACAGGAGGGTAGGGAGTACGTAACAAGCAAGACATGAAAGGAAGGAAAGCATAGACGGATAAAAAGGAAACAAGTGCGAAACAAAAGCTCAAACAGCTCCAAAGCTTTAAGACTGAAAATTCCTCCCCCGATGCACAAACCGAGGCAGAGGACGCCTGCATATTTTACGAATACGACAGGGCTTCGCCTTTGGGCTGAGGGCACCTTGAAATTCAAGGAGGGGGGCAGAGGGTGACTCCTTGTGGGAAAGATAGATGGTGGTAAATGGAATACTCAATCCTCACAAGTTGGAATTGTTTATTTCTAAGCCAACCTAAGGCCACGGGTGTGCTGAACGCCAAAGGGCAGGGGTCAGCCAAGCAGGCGCTGAAGATGCGGCCGACCTGGCGGGGGTCCTTTCAGGAGGCCTTGTTCAGGCGCGGATGGGACATATATACTATATATATATATACAGGTTAGAGTGCATATATATATATATATGTTTATTGTAAGCTATAACACATGTATAATTTTGACATATATATATATAGATATGTATTTAAGCAACTCCCTGGCCTGGCTTTGTTTTAGATTCGCCGTCTTACGCAAAGGCAATACTTGCGGCCCATGCAAACGGGAAAAGGCCCAGGTTCTCAAAGCCTGTGTTCAGGGTTTCGGAGAAGACGATCCACTTGGAGGGTGGGCGTCACCGGGCCAGTCCCGCTGTGGTTGACCGTTTACAGCCCCGTTCTATATGCATTCGTGTGTGACAACGGCCATTTCGTGCCGGCAACCCTCGTGGACAAACTAGGCTACGTGCAATTGCAGAAGCGATGTGCCTGACGGTGTCCGGCATTTGATTCTCTTGGTGAACGACGTTTAGGTGCCACTGTGAGCTGTTTTCGTCGTTGTTGATCTCCAGCTGTCACTTGGGCACAATCGTTCGGATTCGCAACTTTTGCTATCAGATCCGGTCAGTAGCTCTTGTTCATCCGGCAATGCGCCCACGAGGGGTGTCGTAGCCAGGCATCCGGCGAGGAACTACCGGACCATCATCACGGCAAGCAGCAGCTCGTACACAATTCGTTTTCCATGTCTTCCAATGGGGACAGCTAGAGGAAAGCTCGAAAGAGAGGTCGTCTAACATAAGCTCAAGCCACGGGCAAATTGGGCAGAGGTGAAAGAGGGGTGGGTTCTTTTGTGATGCCCCCATCCTTTCCTATTTGGAGAGACAACCCAAGCATCATGACATGATTTGTTCGTCCATGTCATCTTGGCAGAAAGCCGTCTTCTTATCTTTGGCAGAAAACCAGATGCGCCTTTCAATCTCCTGCGACGTCGCCTTGCACGCGCGGCAACGCGGCAAGCCTCGCGCGGCATGGGCAAGGCGCCACGATGAAGATGAAGGATGCGCTGCACGAGCAGAACTGGCTGCAGAGGTTCGTGGTGCCGCCGCGGAGCCCCAAGCAGATGGTGTGGTCCGCCGTGGGCGCCTTTCTGATCCTGTGGGACGTGGCCCGGCCGCGGAATGGGGAAATGCCATGGGCGGAACTTCCCTTCTTTATTTTTCCGGGGTTTGAGTCGGCTCTTGGGGTTTGCGGGTCTCCACTGGCTTTTTGTGAGGGTCTTCGGGGTGAAGTGCAAATGGTCAGCTCGCAGGTTGAATGGGGCCAGCTGAAGAATTTCACACCAGAATCAAAACTAAGTAGCTCTTGGATTCAGTCTCTACCGACACAAAGGCCAGTTTGGGCCTTGAAGCCTTTGGCCTTTTTTTTGGAGGGTCTTCGCCGGGTCTCTGAAGCGGTGGGCACGTTTCGAGGTGATCACCATCCCGCTCGCCTTGTTCAACATCCCCACCTTCCACCGCTTTGTTGGCATCATGGAGCCGCGCGGCGAGACCGTTGTCGGGTTTGGGAGTAAGGGAAGTCCTTGCTTGTGCTTCTCTTAGCTTGTTCGGAGTGTCTCTTTTTGAGGGCCCCCCCTCCCCCAATTTGGTTGGTGTTCAAGGGGAACCAGAAGGAGAACGTGCTTCTCTTAGCTTGGTCGGCCAAGGTGATTGACGGGTGGCTAGAATGGATCGGGAATGGGAAGAGAGAAGAATGGAGAAACTGGGGAGGTGGGGAGGGTTCAAATTCGAGTTTCTCCAA